TGTCTTTCTGTGCCTGGCTAATTTCACTTAACATAGTGACCTTGAGTTCCATCCATGTTAATGCAAATGCCAGGATCTCATTTTCTGTGTGTGTGGCCAAATTGTGTTTTTTTGTTTTTCAAGATGAAGTTTCACTCTTGTTCCCCAGGCTGGAGTGCAATGGCACGATCTCAGCTCACTGCAACCTCCACCTCTCAGGCTCAAGCGATTCTTTTGCCTCAGTCTCCCAAGTAGCTGGGATTATAGGCATACACCACCACGCCTGAATGATTTTGTATTTTTAGTAGAGGCGGGTTTTCACCATCTTGGCCAGACTGATTTCAAACTCCTGACCTTACTTAGGTGCTACACCTGCTTCAGCCTCTCAAAGTGCTGGGATTACAGGCATGAACCAACATGCCTGGCCCCAAATAGTATTTTTAATGTGTACATATACAACTTTTTTATCCATATATCTGTTGATGGACACTTAGGTTAATTCCATATTTTTGCTGTCATGAATACTGCTTCAATAAACACAAGGATGCAGAGATCTCTTCTATATACTGACTTTTATTTTTTCCTTTGGGTATATACCCAGTAGTGGGATTGCTAGATCATATGGTAGTTCCATTTATAGTGGAAACAAAGACTGAAAACAAAAAGAGGGAGGAAGGGGTAGAGGAATAAAAGAAGTAAAAGGAGGAATTGAAAAAAAGAGTGACTAAGATCATAAAAGAACTTAAGTTACCATATCTTAACTATTACAAATAATGCTGCAATGGACAAAAAACATCACACATCCTGATTTAAAATTACATTAAAAGATATAGCAATGAGTATAGTATGGTACTGTCATAGAAACAGAAACATAGACCAGGGAACACAATAGAGCTCCCAGAAATAAATTCAAACATTCATGGTTAGCCAATTTTTGAAATATGCAATACATTGTTATTAACTATGGTCTCCACGCTGTGCTATCCAACATTAGAACGTATTTCTTCCACCTAACTGTATGTTTGGACCCATTAACCAACCTCTATTTATTCCCCCACCACCCACATACCCTTCTCAGCCTCCGGTAGCTGTCATTCTACTCTCTACCTCTGCAAGATCGACTCTGATATCTTCAACTTATGAGTGAGAACACGCAATATTTGCCTTTCTGCGCCTGTTTTATTTCACTTAACGTAATGACCTTCAGTTTCATCCATGTTGCTGCAAATAACATAATTTGATTCTTTTTGTAGCCAAGTAGCATTCCATTTTGTATACATACTCCTTTTTAAATCCATTTATGGACTTTTAGGTTGATTCTGTATCTTTACTGTGGTGAAAAATGGCATCATAAAAGATATCTATTCTGTATACTGATTTTCTTTCCTTTGGAGACAGATCCAGTAGTGGGATTTCTGTATCACATAATAGTTCTATTTATACTAGAAAAGAAGAATGAAAAGAGAGAGAGAAAGGGAAGGAGAGAGGGAGAAAATAAGTGAAGAAAGGGACTCAAAGAGTGACTAGGGTCATAACAGAACTTAAGTTGAAACATTATGTGATAAAAATAAAGACTTGGAGTTTCAGAAAAAGAGCACTTTTTTACAAAAATCAGCTGGACATGGTGAAATGTGCCATTGTTTTTGGTCCTTTGCATTCAATGTTAATATTGAAATGTGAGGTACTGTTTTATTCATCATATTAATTGTTACCTAGATACTTTGTTTTTTCATTGTGTTATTGTTTTATAAGCCCTGTGAAATTTATGCTTTGGAAAGTTCTATTTTGATGCACATCAAATTTTTATTTCAAGATTCAGAAGTTCTTGTAGCATCTCTTATGTTGCTGGTTTGGTAGCAACAAATTCCTTCAGCATTTGTTTGTCTGAAAAAGAATTCATCTCTCATTTCTGAAGCTGATTTTTGCTAGATGCAAAATTCTTGGGTGATAATTACGTTATTTAATGAGGCTAGAGAAGTGATGTAGACAGATTCCTTGGTTGTAGATAGGCTTAGTGTGCTGGCTTTCATGAATTCTCATTATAGCTGTGACGAACCTGTCATGTGGATAGATTCAGGACCTCTGGTTAGCCAGGGTGTAGTACCCAGTGGTAGCAGCTGAGATCTCGTAGCCTTTGTCTCCTTCCTTGGTGCAGTGTTATTCTACTAGAGGGATTGTAATGGATTGTGTTGGTTGGCCTCCAGCCAGGAGGTGGCACTTGCAAAGGAGCACCAGCTGTGATAGCAGCAGTAGAATTTCAGCTTGCCCGAAGTTTCCCAGGAGAAATATTCTTATTTCTCAGGTGATGGGGATGGGTACCAAGCTCCCAAAAGTTTGCATCCTTTGTGTTATGCTAGTAGAGTGGGTGGAGGGCTTTCCCAGGTGGGAACAGGCTTAGGTGGGTCTGTGCTCTGACTCTCCTTGGGCAGGGAAGGACAACTCCCCTGTGGTGGCTGACATGCGGTTCTCAGACTGCTGGGGCAATGTTCCAGAGTAATACTGTCTCTTCTGCACTGAAGAGTTGGCAAAGGGAATGGGGAGTAGTGGGTGGCAGCCAGCTTCACTCAGTTCCCATGCAGTTGGTGAGGCTGATCCCACTCCCACAGTGCTCTGCTAATAATGCTGGGTTTAGATCCAGGTAGTCTGTGCACAGAACTCAGACCTGCCACAGGCCATCAGCTTCCCCACGGAGATAGAAAGCATGGCTTTTAGGCCATGCCCCTCCCCATCTGCCCACAAAGCCAGGTGCCTAGCTCCTGCACTAGTATCTACAGCTTGCTATCCACCCCGATCCCCTTTTGCTGCTTTCTGGTCAGGGAAGTTTATCCCTGAGATTGTATCACAAAATTTAGTTGGAAGATTCTTTCACCCTGTGACCCCTCCCTGAGCTTGTTGGCTAATTTCCCTGAGGGCCACTGTTAGGTACAATCAGGAATAGCTTTTATATCTTGTAATTTTGATATATTCTCTTAGTAGTTCTGGTAGTCACTCTGTAGATTCTTGTATATTTTCTACCATTTTTTTTTCATTATAAAATAACAAACTCTTTTTAATATTTGTGCTTTTGGTTTGCCTTATTGACTGATAAGAACCTTCAGTACAACCACATGTGGTGGCTCATACTTGTAATACCAGCACTTTGGAAGGCCTGGGCTGGCAGAAAACCTGAAGTTGGTAGTTCAGGACCAGCCTGACCAACATGGAGAAACCCTGTCTCTACTAAAAATACAAAATTAGCTGGGCACAGTGGCAGGTGCCTGTAATCTCAGCTACTTGGGAGGCTGAGACAGGAGTATCACTAGAATTCAGAAGGCAGATGTTGTGGTGAGCTAGGATTATGCCATTGCACTCCAGCCTGGCCAACAAGAGCAAAACTCCACCTCAAAAAAAAAAAAGAGAGAGAGAGAGAAAAGAAACTCCAGTGCAATGTATAAAAATGGCAAGAGTTCACATCTCTGCTTTAGTTTAAATCTCGTGAGGAAAGCACTCAGATGTTTACTAGCAAGTATGGTGTTAAGTTTAAAATTTTTTGTAATATAGTTATCAGATTGAGGAAGTTCTCTTTAATTCTTATTTTACTAATAGACTTTAAAAATCACAAAGGGATATACAATTCAATTTGTTAAATATAATATTTTTGTTTATTGAGTCAGTCATATGGTGATTTTCCTTTATATTACTAATATGGTGAAATACATTTATTTTTTTAATTTTTAATTTTTTTTGAGACAGGGTTTTACTCTGTTACCCAGACTGCAGTGCAGTGACACAATCATTGCTCTGCAAACTCTAATGTCTGGGCTTAAGTGATCCTCCTGCCTCAGCCTCCAGAGTAGCCTGGACTACAAGCATGCACCATCACACCAAGCTATTTTTTTAATTTTTATTTTCAGTAGAGACGGGGTTTCACTATTTTGCCTAGGCGGTCTTGAACTCCTGAGCTCAAGCAATCTTCCAGCCTCAGCCTACCAAAGTTCTGGGATTACAGACATGAGCCACCATGCTCAGCTCTTAATTTTTAATTTTTGTGGGTACATAGTAGGTTTATATACTTATGAGGCACCTGAGATGTTTTGTTATAGGCATACAATGTGTAATAATCATATCAGGCTAAACAGGGTATCCACTACCTTAAGTATTTTTAATTTCTTTGTGTTAGAAACATTTCACTTGTACTCTTCATTCTTCTGAAATGTACAATTTATTCTTGACTATAGTCATCACCCTATTGTGCTATTAAAGACTGGGCATTATTAATTCTATTTAACTGTATTCTTGTACCCATTAACCATCCTCTCACCACCCCCACTATCCTCCTTAGCCTCTGGTAACCATTCTTCCACTGTCTGTCTCCATGAGTTCAATTGTTTTAATTTTTAGCTCCCACAAATAAGTGAGTACATGTGAAGTTTGTCTTTCTGTGCCTTGCTTATTTTATTTAACGTGATGTTAGGTTCCATCCACGTTGTTGGAAATGACAGGATCTCATTCTTTTTGATGGCTGAATAGTACTCTATTATGTATATGTACCACGTTTTTTTTGTCCATTCATTTGTTGATGGACACTTAGGTTGCTTCCAAATCTTGTCCATTGTGAATAGAGCTGTAAATAAGCATGGGAGGGTAGATATCTCTTCAATGTACTAATGTCTTTTTTTTGGATATATACCTAGTAGTGGGATTGCTGGATCATACAGGAGCTCCATTCTTAGTTTTTTGAGGTAACTCCATACTGTCCTCCATACTAATTCACATTCCCACCAACAGTGTAAGAAGGTTCTCTTTTTTCTACATTCTTACCAGCATTTGTTATTGCCTGTCTTTTGGGTAAAAACCACTTTAACTTGGGTGACATAATATATCACTGTAGGTTTGATTGGAATTTCTCTGATGGTCAGTGATATTGAGCATCTATTTATATACCTGTTTGCCATTTGTATGTCTTCTTTTGAGAAAGGTCTCTTCTGATGACTTGCCAGTTTTTAAATAGGATTATTCTTTTTCCTTTTGAGCTATTTGAGCTTCTTACATATTCTGGTTATTAATCCCTTATCAGGTGGATAGTTTGCAAATGTTTTCTCCCATTCCGTGCATTGTTTCCTCACTTTGTTGATTGCTTTCTTTGCTGTGCAGGAGCTTTTTAATTTGATATGATCCCATCTGTCCATTTTTGCTTTGGTTTCCTGTGCTTGTGGGACATTATCCAAGAAATATTTGCCCAGGTCAATGTCCTGGAGAGTTTCCCCAATGTTTTCTTTGACTAGGTTCATAGTTTCATGACTTAGATTTATGTCTTTAACCCATTTTTGTTCGATATTTGTATATGGTGAGAGATAGGAGTCTGTTTTCATTCTTCTTCTTTTTGTTGTTGTTGGGTTTCTTTTTTTCTTGAACCCATGCAGCACTGAAGAAATGTTTTCATTCTTCTACATATGGGTATCTAATTTTCCCAGCACCATTTATTGAAGAGGCTCTTCTTTCCCCACTGTATGCTCTTGGCAACTTTGTCAAAAATGAGTTCACTGTACGTCTGAATTTATTTTGGGGCTCTGCATTCTATTCCATTGGTCTATGTGTCTGTTTTCATGCCAGTACCATCCTTTTTTTATTACTGTAGTTCTGAATTATAATTTGAAGTCAAGTAGTGTGATTCCTTCCATGTATTCAGAATACTCAGCATTGCTTTAAGTATTCTGGGTCTTTTGTGGGTACATGTAAATTTTAGAATTTTTTTTTCTGTTTCTGTGGAGAAGGTCATTGGTATTTTGATACAGATTGAGCTGAATATGTAGGTTGCTTTTGGCGATACGAACATTTTAACGATTGTTTCAATCCATGAACATAAAATATCTTTTCATTTTTTGTGTCCTCTTCAATTTCTTGTATCAGTATTTTATAGTTTATCATTTATTGATTTTTGAATGCTGAACTAACCTTGCATTCCTAGAAAATGCCACTTGTTTTAATCTATGATCTTTTTTATATACAAATGAATTGTATATGGTAATATTTTTGTTAAGATTAAAAAAAAAAAAAAACTCCATGCAGTATGATTTCTTCTAACTGAAATTCTAGAAAAAGTAAAACTATAGCAACTGAAAACAGATGAGAGGTTGCCAGGACTGAGGGGTGAAAGTTATAAATTGCATAACATTACAGAGAAAAGGTTTAGGAATGTCAGAAATGTCCTATGTGGCGATCATGATGGTGATTACAATACTATACACATTTGTTAAAATTCATCAAATTGCACACATAAAGTTGGTGAATTTTATTATATATACTATATTCCTCAATAAAACCAGATAATTAATATATATAGATTTTCAGTAGGAAAAAAGCAAGTTGCAGAATGTATGTGTTTTGTTTCTTTGGGGTTTTTTTGGTATTTTTGACATGGAGTTTCACTCTTGTCACCCAAGCTGGAGTGCAACAGCACTATCCTGGCTCACTGCAGCCTTCTCCTCCTAGTTTCAAGCATTTCTCCCGGCTCAGCCTCCCAAGTAGCTGTGATTACAGGTGCCCACCATCACACCTGGTTAATTTTTCTTTTTTTTTTTTTTTGTATTTTTAGTAGAGACGGGATATCACCATATTGGCCATGCTGGTCTTGAACTCCTGACCCCTCCTGCCTTGGCCTCCCAAAGGGCTAGGATTATAGGTGTGAGCCACCGTACCCAGCCATGTATCTGTTTTTTTAAATTTAATAGTTCTATATTTGTGTATATAAAAGTTTACTTAACATCTAGAATCATAAAAATTATAAAAATAGAAAAAAGAGGAGGGGAATGGCATGTAGGGAATAGTCAAATGGAATATTATCTTTCATTTCAATATTTCGGTTAAGAAAAATTTATTTACACTCACTAGTTGTACAATTAAAATTAAATTTAATTATGATAGTAAAGAAAAATTTTGCAGCTCTGCACATGACAGAAATTAATGTATATTTTTCTCTTTTTGTGATGTCTTTGCCAGGTTTTGTTTGTTTGTTTGTTTTTTCTTTTGAGATGGAATCTCACTCTGTTACCCAAGCTGGAATGCATGGAGCAATCTCAGCTCACTGCAACCACTGCCTCCTGGGTTCAAGGGATTCCCTTGCCTCAGCGTCCCATGTAGCTGGGTTTACAAGCACGTGCCACCACACTATGCTAATTTTGTGTATTTAGTAGAGACAGGGTTTCACCATGTTGGTCAGGCTGCTCTCAAATTCCTGACCTCAGATGATCCACCCACCTCAACTTTAAAAAGTGCTGGTTTACAGGCATGAGCCACCATGTCCGGCCTGTCAGGTGTTTATACTGATATTATATCTGGATTCATAAAATACATTGGAAAAAATCCCCCCTCTTCTGTTTTCTAGCAAGTTTGTGTACATTTTTCCTTAACTGCCTATTTGTAAAATCCAATAGTGAAACCAGCAGGGACTGAAGATTTCTTCGTGGAAAGCTTTTTGACTACAATTTCTTCAAGAGATATATGACTATTTAGATTTCCTATTTCCGATTGTGTCATTTTTATAATTTGTTTTTTTCCAATAAAATTTATTTGTTGTGAAGTTTGTTGGCAAAAAAGTTATTTCAAATTCATTGGCAAAATGTGTTTATAACTGTGTTTATAGTATTCTATTATAATTTTGATAACTGTGTGGTCCTTAGTGATAGTCTCTCATTTCTGCTATGAGCAATTTGTGTTTTGGGTGTTTTTGTTAGTCTAGTTGGGTGTTTGTCAATCTTATCAATGCTTTCAAAGCAGCAAATTTTTGCTTATTTAATTTTCACTAAAACCTGTTTTTTTCCTATTTCTTTGCTTTCTGCTTTCTGCTTTTTTTTTTTTTTTTTTTTTTTTTTTTTTCAGATAGAGTCTTGCTCTGTCACCCAAGCTGGATTACAGTGGCACAATTTCAGCTCACTGCAACCTCTGCCTCCCTAGTTCAAGGAACTCTCTTGCCTCAGCCTCCCAGGAAGCTAGGAGTGCAGGCACCCACCACCATGTCTGGCTAATTTGTGTATATTTAGTAAAGACAAAGTTTCACTATCTTGGCCAGGCTGGTCTCAAACTGCTGACCTCAGGTGACCCACCTACCTCAACCTCCCAAAGTGCTGGGATTACAGGCATAAGCCAATGTGCTGGGCCATTCTTTCTGCTTTTATCATAATTTTATAATATTTGTTTTTCTCCTGGGATTTTTGCCTTTTTTACTCATTGTGCATGCACATTTTCCTTTTTGTCTCTGCACGTTTACTAGATAATTAACATATATAGATTTTCAGTAGGAAAAAAGCAAGTTGCAGAATGTATGTGTTTTGTTTCTTTGGGTTTTTTTGGTATTTTTGACATGGAGTTTCACTCGTCACCCAAGTTGGAGTGCAACAGCATTATCCTGGCTCACTGCAACCTCCTCCTCCTAGTTTCAAGCATTTCTCCCGGCTCAGCCTCCCAAGTAGCTGTGATTACAGGTGCCCACGATCACACCTGGTTAATTTTTTTTTTTTTTTTTTTGTATTTTAGTAGAGATGAGATATCACCATATTGGCCATGCTGGTCTTGAACTCCTGACCCCTCCTGCCTTGGCCTCCCAAAGGGCTAGGATTACAGGTGTGAGCCACCATACCCAGCCATGTATCTGTTTTTTAAATTTAATAGGTCTATATTTTTTTTAAATCTCTGTTAGTAGATTGGGCTCAGTGGCTCACACCTGTAACCCCAGCCCTTTAGAGGCTAAGGCAGGAAGATCGTTTGAGCTCAGGACCTGAGCAACATGGTATAACCCAGTCTCTACCAAAAATACAAAAATTAGCCAGGTGAGGTGGATAATATGATGAGTTCCTTGGGACATAGCCTCATCATATGTTGAGAAGCTTCTGGATTAACATGTGTGAGATTTTCACAATATATTAACACGCTGGAGCAGAATGAAATAATGTTAAAGTTTTTGCTTTTTTCTTAAGGAATAACTAATTTATTATGCTACAGTAATACATTAGTTGATTTTTTTTTGTTTTTTTTTTTTTTTTTTGAGATGGAGTCTTGCTCTGTCACCATGCTGGAGTGCAGTGGCACAATCTCAGTTCACTGCAACCTCCACCTCACAGGTTCAAGAAATTCTCATGTCTCAGCCTCTTGAGTAGCTGGGATCACAGGCATGCACCAACCATGCCCAGCTAATTTTTGTTTTCTTCAGTAGAGATGGAATTTCACCACATTGGCTAGGACGGTCTCAATCTCTTGACCTTGTGATCAGCCCACCACAGCCTCCCAAAGTGTTGGGATTACAGGCGGGAGCCACTGTGCCCAGGCACATTAGAGTTTCTTGTAATATTTCCTTAATCTTCTATTTCTTTCATTTTTATTTTTTTAATTAATTTTTGAGACTGAGTTTCATGCTGTCACCCAGGCTGGCATGCAGTGGAACTTTCTGGGCTCATTGCAACCTCTGCCTCCTGGGTTCAAGCAAGTTTCATGTCTCAGCCTCCCAAGTAGCTGAGACTATAAGGGTGCACCACCACACCTGGCTAATTTTTGCATTTTTAGTAGAGACAGGGTTTCGCTAAGTTGGCCAGGCCTGTCTCGAACTCTTGATCCCAAGCTATCCACCCACCTCTGTCTTCCAAAGTGCTGAGGTTACAGGCATAAGCCACTGTGCCTGGCTGTTTATTCTTTTAAGATGAAGAAATAGAGCCTCTTTAAGTGTGCTGAGAGATAGTTGCACTTCATTTATAAAAACAATAGCCAAATCTATGTTTTTTGACACAGACTTCTCTTTTCCAGCTTTAGGTCACAAACACACCACCAGGGGAGGGGATCCACCTGAGAAGCAGGTTGCTACAGGAGGGGTGCCTCCCAAGGCGGCACTTCCTTTTCTTTCTAATCTGGGTTGTCTAGGAGGGTTCAGATCTTTTGGAGGCATCAAGATCTCCGGCACTGGAGCGGGGGGCCTCTCCTCTGGGTAAGGAGGGGATGTTATTGGAAGGGGGTCCTCTAGTGCTGAGTAAGCCAAGATCTAAGGACCCTGCATCCTCCGGCGGGTGGAG